GTCTGTGCTGGATTGCTGCCAAGGTTAGTCTGTGCTGGATTGCTGCCAATGTCTGGACTTTGCTGTTCTGTGTGTTAATAAATCTTTTGAAGTATCTTTGTTTCGGCGTGCTTTGGTGTAGGACGAGGAGGGTCAGAACATCTGGGTATGCGAAAAGGGGCTAGTAGCATCCTGTTGAAGTTCCTTATCCATGAGCTGCAGAAATTCTTTGTCCTCTATCGACAAGGCCACGCGGTTGCCTTCTTTGCTGGTCTGGAACACCGTTGTTCCTAAATCGGGGTCTGTTTATTGATGTCGTGAAGTGTTTGTGGAACGGTTTCTAGTGGGACGCTCTCCCGTTAACGAGAATGGAGGTGGTGTAGACATTCACCTGGGTTGGGACCTTCGGCCGATTGTCACCAACCACCCCAATGATGACCCACCCGAATTCTGTCTTGAGGGCTAACGGGGAGCCCTTTGGGCCTCTGACCATTCCATGGGAAGCAAAAGCATCAGGGGCGTCCATTCCCAGCATGAGCATGATTTCGGCTTCAGGATCAAGCGCAGGGAAGTGATCAGCCATGTGCCTCAGGTGAGGTATGGTGCTTGCTACCTCGGGTGTCGCAATCCAACTACGACGGTCTGGTATGGCGTCCCATTCGAGCAATGGCGGCAGCGGGAACTGCGAACTCCCATCCAACGATTCTATGCAGAGTCCGGCGACTTTCCTCCCCGCCGCGTGCCGGTGCCCGGTGCACGTTGATATCGTGAAGTGCGTCTCCTCACATGGGACATCATAGAGGTCGAAGAACGCTGACCTGGCTAACGATTGATTGTTTTGTGAGGCCAGTATTACATACATCTTCACGGCTTCTTCCGGGCATCCAGCTGGGTAGACTTTAGCTAGGCAGATCGGGTGGTATGTGCAAGGTGATCCAGAGTCTCTAGGACCAGGGGCGGGTGCCGGGGAGAGCTGGCATTTTCCTGCAGAATACTTCATGACGATTTCATCTTGCCGTGACGCAGACAACGGCTGTCCTGGTTGCCGCTCGGCAGGCTGACAGCGATCATTGTCCCAGACGTTCGTGTTTGAGTTGCCTTCAAGGTCGGACGAGAATTCTCTGCCCTTTGCGTTGAGCTTGGAGGTTGCGGCTTCTTGTGGGTCGACCTGTTGAGAAGCCTTCGCTTCTGCCGATGGGCTGACTTGATCACCCTTTGGGTCCCGGTTTGTTGGGGTAGGTTCTTTGGATCCAAGAAGGGGGTCCTGTGGTGCGGGTGTGACGCTGGCAACGTTCTGATTAGTTCGTAGATCTGGCGGTTGCAATTCTCGTCTTCGCCCCCTCTGTCGCGAACCCTGGTCGTCCGCGTAAAAGGCTTCGACGCGCTTGTGCGAGTTCTCCTTTTCCAACTTTCCAGGATTGAAGTCGAGAGAAACGCTGTCAGCCTCCGTCGGTGAAGCGTCGGCCCGTGTCTTTTTTGCTAGAGCCTCCCGCTTGCGCTGAAGGAACTCGAGGCTGGCCTGAGCTGTGGCTTTACGTAGATACATCATGGCTTCCGCGGCTGCCATCTCTTCCCTTTGAAGTTCCTCTTCCTCCCCTACATCTAAAGCTGCTATGGCCGCCACCGCTTCCACTTGTGCGCTGGCGTCTTGCTCGGCAAGAGTCTCTTTTCTCGAGGCCCGGGATATTTGGCTGCAATGGGAAGACTGTTGCGAGACCCTGGCACCCACCCGAGTCACGGTTGGCTTGGGGTGAAGGGGTGAGGCTTTCCTAGAAGAGGGAAAGGAAGCCGCATGGGACCGCTGGGATGGCGCAGGCGAACGATGGGACACTTCGGTTTCGGCCTCCTCCTGCGGTCTCTCCTTTGCCTGTCGTGCAGCAGGGAAACGGTCTTTATTGCTTTGGAAGAACTGATTACGCTCTTCGCCCAGAGCCTCTAATCCTTTCGTGATCCCTTGGAGCTCTGGGTCTCTTAGCTGCGACTGAATGTTGACGAGACAGCTGTCACAATCCTTCCCTTCTAGGAAAAATCCATCCACCAGGGAGTTAATGTGCCTGGAGGACGTCTCATCTTCAGGTGCCTTGCAGAGCTTCAGCAACCTTTCCCAGGATTTGTTATAACGTCGACAGTCCTTGTCCCAATTCTCCCTCAGGCTCGCCTCTTTGGCATCAGGAAACTTCCTCTGCGGCCTCGAGTTGTTGGTTGCTTGAGGTCCTTCGGTCATTTCTGAGTGTTCGACAACCAATTCTGAGTTTTGAACAAGAAATTCTGAGTTTGTGTTGAGGTCTGACATGTCTGCCATGACAGGAGACTCCATGACTTAAGATTAAAACAGGAAATTTCCTGAATATATTAGGAATTTTCAGGGCAAGTCACCTTTTGGCCACTAGGGTGCGTTGCAAGCTTTAGGAGATGTTGGTGAAGTTCACTTTTTGGCCACTAGGGTGCGTTGTAAGCTTTAGATGTCAGCGCAGTTCACTTTTTGGCTGCTAGGGTGAGTTGCAAACTTTAAGAGATGTTGGTGAGTTTCACTTTTTGGCCACTAGGGTGCGTTGCAAGCTTTAGGAGAAGTCAGCGCAGTTCACTTTTTGGCCACTAGGGTAAGTTGCAAGCTTTAAGAGATGTCAGTGCAGTTCACCTTTTGGCCACTAGGGTGAGTTGCAAACTTTAAGAGATATCAGCTGAGTTCACTTTTTGGCCACTTGGGTGTGTAGCAATCTTTAAGAGATGTCGGCGCAGTTCAATTTTTGGCCACTAGGGTGAGTTGCAAGCTTTAGGAGATGTTGGCGTTCACTTTTTGGCCACTAGGATGCGATGCAA